CCCAAGACACTGGTTTACTTTTAAACCAGTACAGCACCAAAAAATGAAGTTACTTGAATGTAACCAAGGAATAACAGTATGGGGTTTTTGCAAATGTTTCTCGTATTTGGATGTAAGAGGAGTAGGCATTTTAAACATGCATTGATGGCCTATTCCAGACAATATGGGATACCACTGGCTTTGCAGAAATTAAGCTAGAAATTTTTAACTCCATAAATGGAAAGGAATATGCACCTGTTGTTGGGGAATATTTGGACTGTAGTTCCAGAAAAGTTCTCAAAAGGATATTTGGCTACTCCAACTTGTTGCCTACATGGTGCTGATCAGTATTGTTAGGGTACTAGATAACTTCAGTTTCATCAGTGATTGTTGCATTTTTGATGTCTTATAAGTTTCTTTTTGCAGACTGCTATAAGTTTGTTGCCAGCAGATTTTACTGAAAGATTTTCCCCACTGACTTTTTCCTCTTTCCCTGGGTATAGTTTCTAGGGATCTCCCTGAAACCAGGATAGTGGGAGGGATAAAGGTGGTAATGTGTGATATGTATGCTTATTTGGGTTCTGGTGATACCTGGATCTGTAAGGTTATGGCTCTGAAAGACAAGCCAGCCTTAACCGAACTTAGTTTCAAGCCAAGCTTACAAATCCAACAAGTATGAAAAATAGTTCTGTAAAATTGTCTAACATTCAAAAATGCTGAACCTCACCAAAGAAGACTGTTATATTGGGTGTCTTCAGTATCAATGTAGATGTAACCACAAGTATGTATTATATCACCATCTTCATAAGCTGTTGAAATCCAGGTGGGGCAGTGTTATCTCCTCCATGACTCATTCCTGATAACTCCCTGTGGGGAGTTATCTTCTGCTTAATGGGCCATTGAGTCTCACTGCATGACTGATAAAATTACATCATCCCATTGTGAGATGCTCTGCTCAGGGGGAGGAGCCAAGAATTCCTACTGGATATAAACTGAGCTGTGGAACACCACAGGCAGCTTTACCTACTAGACTCCCAGAGGACAAGAGCCAAAGTAATCCCCACGGAAGCTGCAGAGGAAGACCAGACCCTTCTACAGGATCACTGCTCTAAGGGAACTACACCTGTCACTCCAGGAGGGCTGCTGCCGCCATTTAATGGGACTGCTGCCACCACCCTGACCCACAGGCTGTCAGGTTGTGTCCTAAATCTGTCAGTTTAAACCAGTGTTTTCTGCATTTATTTTTTAATCAGCAGCACATGATGACGGAGGAGAGCAGTGTCTGCAGATTTGTGTTCAAGAAGCGGGTGCGAGCCGCAGGCAGCAACCGGCGGAAACGGCCTGGCAGTGAGCAGGAGCAGGACAGCAGTGGGGAAGAGGGCAGCACCGTGGTGCAGAAGAAGTTGCTCAGGGACATCCCCAACCCCATGATCCAGAAGACTAGGTTCTGCATGAGGGAGAGGCTGGAGTATGCACCAAGCAGTAGCGAGGATGAGGATCCTGCCAAGGAAATTTGGGTCACCTACAAATCAACCAGGTCGGCAAAACCTGTTGGCCCAGAAGACATGGGGGCCACAGCAGTGTATGAACTGGACACGGAGAAGGAGAAGGATGCCCAGGCTATCTTTGAACGTAGCCAAAAAATCCAGGAGGAGCTGAGAGGAAAGGAAGATGATAAAATTTATCGTGGCATTAATAACTACCAGAAGTATGTGAAGCCCAAGGACACATTGATGGGAAATGCCTCCTCAGGAATGATCAGAAAAGGCCCCATGCGTGCTCCGGGGCACCTGCGGGCCACAGTGTGCTGGGACTACCAGCCTGACATCTGCAAGGACTACAAAGAGACTGGGTTCTGTGGCTTCGGGGACAGCTGCAAATTCCTGCACGACCGCTTGGACTACAAGCACGGCTGGCAGATTGAACAGGAGCTGGACGAGGGCCGCTACGGCGTCAATGACAGTGGAAACTATGAGGTGAGCAGTGATGAGGAGGACATGCCTTTCAAATGCTTCATCTGCAGAGGTTCCTTCCAGAACCCCGTGGTCACCAAGTGTCGGCACTACTTCTGTGAGAGCTGTGCCCTCCAGCACTACCGCAAATCCCAGCGCTGCTATGTCTGTGAGAAGCAAACCAACGGGGTCTTCAACCCTGCCAAAGAGCTCATGGCAAAACTGGAAAAACACAAAGGGGAGGACGAAGAGGGCCAACAGTCATGCCATGAAGAGGATCCAAAGCAGCAGAACAAGTTCTGTACATAACTGAATGAAACTTTTGTAAAAGGGGGAAAATTAGTGTGGGGTGTGTGTAAACCCCCCACAAAAGACTAAAGTCTTGGGTGCTCTCATGTTTTTCACTTGCATTCCACATGACCTGGGATGCTGACAGTTTGTCAGATGCAGAATATTATCAACAATGGCAAGACAATATCCATCACTCTACTTGAACCCCAAGACTTAAACATTTGAGACACATCAGTAGCAGAAGGATGTGTGTTTTTAATTGAGATGGTTTTGAGTTGGATAGTTTCTTGTTTGTAGTGTTGAGTTGCAATTTGTAGATATATTTGGGATATGGGGACTTAAGGATTTTATCTACTTAAGGACATGGGTCACAAACCTAAACTAAGACAAAATATTTCTTCTGTTCCTTTTTTCTGACAGTTCTGAAGTTGAATTGTTTTTTGTTTGTAGTGTTAAGTTTTAATTTGTAATTTCTAAGTAATGAGCCTGCAGCATGCTAGCATGGAAAATTGTATTACTGGTGATCTTGTTTGACAGCTCCTGGACAATACATGGGATACATCCCTGCCTGGGGAGTTGGGCTTGTCCAGTTGGTTGGACAGCCTTATTTGACCTGGGCTTATCATCTGTGACATCATGCTGTCTGTCATCCTCTCTGTCACACTTCTGCTGATCTGAAGCTGCCCCCCAAGCTCAACCAGCCTAGAAGGAAGCCAGTCCCTGAGTGAACAAGGATAGGCTGGATTCAAATCTACACAGGGACCCTCAGCCATTGTCATTCAGCCCTAAATGCAGATATATTATTTGTCAGAGAGCTGGTCTGTTCTAAGACCTCAATGAATCACATGTGTAAGCTTGGCGAATTTGAAGCTTCTATAAAAGGAGCTGTGAGAATAAACTTGAGGCTGTTTGTAACAAGGACCTTTGAGAGTTGTATGCTTTGTATGTCAGTCACTTTTCCCTTTTTAAACAGAGAATGGGGGAACTGTCACAGCAACACCTGGCCTGTGGGCTGTACACATAAATTTGCCATAACAGACCTTAATTCGACCAGCCTAGCTGTTACAGAGTAGAAGTAAATGAGTCTCCAGGACAAGATAATCACAGGTTGGATTTGAACTCAAACAGGAACCCCAACCAATCCCATTCAAGCCTGAATGCAGACAGCTGTCTGCAGTGAGGCCAGTGAGCTGACCTTGACCAATCAGATGTGTAAGCACAGGAATTTTGAAACCCCTATAAAAGAATTATTGAGAATTTTTTGAGATTATTTTTAAGTTTTGCAAATTAGCATAGTTGACAAGAATCCCCAGTTAGATGTACAGCTACTGAAGTATTTCCCCCTCTTGGTTTGGCCCCCTACTGAAGCCTCCCCTTTGCTTCTAGCTCCACATTGTTTATACATAAATACATGGGAAAGTGGAAAGGCTTTGGTTCACTGAAGCAGCAAAATTAGAATAGGTTTCCAGGAATGTGTTTGTCTAACGAAATACTGGAGTTAGCAGAAGAAACTATATAACTATACAATAAAAGTCTATAGAGCTACATATATATGAAAAATATATAAAAAGCAAAAATATTTTGGCATCAGTGGTATAATTGGATAATGAAAATAAATTACTAGTGATAGTATAATTTGCTATCCTCTATTATACATATGTGAAGTTATATAAGTGAATATCAAAAGTGGGTTTGAGCCTTGGTGCCAGGTTAAAAGTATAAAATGCAATTGCATGATGAATTCTAAAGTCTTCAGTACACACACAAGTTTGGTTTTAGTTGCAAAAGCTAAGACAAGAGTTTTGTTGGGGAAATTAGGGTTCCTTCTGTAGGAATTCACAGAAATTTGATTTGGTATAAGGGCTATACTAAATCTTGCAATTGCCTGGGTGAATTGTGAATTTTGCAGCTGTGGTTTTGTGGGGTTGAACTCCCCTCTTGTGCCTTTTTGCATGGTTTGTTATGGAATAGCCAGAATTGGCAGGTCTGAGTCCTAAAGCCAATTCTACAGCTCTTGCCTGGCAGGGTTCAGCCCCTTCTCTGCTGTTTCATGGAAGCATTGAGTCTCAACTGTGGGTAAAAGAGAAAAATAAAGGAATTACAGTTTTAAGTGCTGCAGGGTACACTGTGAGTTTGTTAGGAATATGTGTGTCTGCATGTGTACAGGAATAGGTTGTCTGTGTTTAGCCTCACCAGCACTGAGGCACTGAAACAGGAACGCCTCAGATATAAAATATCTTTTATTGAAAAAGTGTTTGTCTTAGGTTGCAATGCAAGATGTAATCAAAAGCATGCTTACTCTTACCATCTGTTAAAATCAGGTGGGGCAGTTTTCTTTATCTCTTCCAGGACCCATCCTCCCTCCAGGGTGATATCTTCTGCCTAATGGGCCATTAAGTGTCACTGCATGGCTGATAAGAACCACATCATCCCATTGTGAGATGCTCCGCCCAGGGGGAGGAGCCAAGAAGTCCTACCTGGATAAAAGTCGAGTTGTGGAACGCCAGAGTTAGCCTTCTCTGCTGGATTCCCAGAGGAAGACGAGACCTGCACTGGACCTGCAGAGTGAAACTCCACTGTCCTCCAGGATCACAGAACCACAGCTGCCACTGCAGGAGGACTACAGCCACCATTTTTTTGGGACTGCTGCTGCCACCTTGACTCACAGGGTATCAGGTTGTATTTTGACTCTGTCAGTGTTTTTATTACTACTGCATTTTATTTTAAGTTTCCTATTAAAGACCTGTTATTCCTATTCTCATATCTTTTCCTGACAGCATGGCAGTGCTGCTGGAGACCACAATGGGTGACCTGGTCATTGACCTGTACACAGAGGAGCGGCCCCGTGCTTGTCTGAATTTCCTGAAGCTCTGCAAAGTCAAGTACTACAACTATTGTCTTATTTATAATGTACAGCGGGATTTTATTATACAAACTGGCGACCCCATGGGAACTGGCCATGGAGGGGAATCTATATTTTGTCAACTGTATGGTGATCAAGCCAGATTTTTTGAGGCAGAAAAGGTGCCCAGAATCAAACACAAGAAGAAAGGAACTGTGTCGATGGTGAACAATGGCAGTGATCAGCATGGATCACAGTTTCTCATTACCACAGGGGAAAACCTGGATTACCTTGATAGTGTACATACAGTATTTGGAGAAGTGACAGAAGGCATGGATGTATTAAAGAAAATTAATGAAACCTTTGTAGATAAGGATTTTATCCCATATCAAGATATCAGGATAAATCATACAGTAATTTTAGATGATCCCTTTGATGATCCACCTGGCTTGTGTGTTCCTGATCGCTCACCAGAACCTACAAAGGAACAGCTTGACAGTGGCAGAATAGGGGCAGATGAAGAAATTGATGACATGAGAGGATGGTCTGCAGATGAAATAGAAGAAGTTCAGGCCGAAAAAGAAGCAAAAAGTCATGCTATTCTTCTGGAAATGGTGGGAGACTTACCAGATGCAGACATAAAGCCACCAGAAAATGTGTTGTTTGTTTGTAAGCTGAATCCTGTGACCACAGGCGAAGACCTGGAGATAATATTTTCACGATTTGGTCCCATTAAAAGTTGCGAAGTGATCCGAGACTGGAAGACCGGTGAATCTCTTTGTTATGCTTTCATTGAGTTTGAAAAGGAGGAAGACTGTGAGAAAGCCTACTTCAAAATGGACAATGTGCTGATAGATGACAGACGGATACATGTGGATTTTAGCCAGTCTGTTGCAAAGATTAAATGGAAGGGAAAAGGTGGGCGGTATACCAAGGAAGAATTCAAGGACTATGAGAAGGAAGGTGACAAAACTTTGAAATTTGCTCTGAAAGAAAAAGTAAAATCAAAGCAAGATGGCAAGTATGACCTTGTGCTGGATGAGGATGTAGAGAAGTCACACTTGGCCAAAAGACAGAAGAAAAAGCACTACCACTGTGAAGAAGATGACAAGAGGACCAAAAAATCTAAGGATTCTGACCGAAAGCACGAAGAATGCTGTAGGAAGAGGACAAGGGATGTGAAGAAAGACAGGCATCGAAACCGTAGCCATTCTCAGGAGAGAGATTACACTTACAGTAGACAAAAAAA